TGGGGATTCGAACCCGCCACCTTAGGTGTACGTGGCTGGCGCCCCAGCCGGTTGAGCTATAGGCGCCGAGCCTAGTCAGTAAAATTTTTTTTAATCTTTCAGATACTTAAAATTATCTCCACAGTATTTTCAGGAAATGCAAAATAAATAATTACAAAAGCAAGAGATTAGGAAAATAAGTTGGCTGTGAAAGAAACTATGCATTGTAATTATTCAAGATGGCAGTAAATGCCTCTATTAAAAGAGACCACAGAGACAACTGCTTTTAAAAGCAGCCTTTATCATTTAAAGGAATTTAATTTAAAAAATTATAAAATAGAAAAGTTAAGTGTTTTTTTCCTTGTGTATTCATAGTTCTCAGTTACTGCCAAGTATGGAAGATCCCTGCGGTTCTATACTTGTGTTATACTGATGTGATGAAGTTAGACCTAATTACAGTGGAAGCTTTTAAGCCTATACTTTCTTCCAGAAGCTTGAAGGGTTTGGTTAAGGTAAGGTTTTTAACTCATTTAAATTAATAGCTGATTTATTAATGAAGCTAATAGCAAGTAAATGGTGTCAACTTAAACCCTAACTGACAATTTAGAGATCCTTTCTTCACAAAGTACAGGTTCCCAGTCTGGCTGTTTGAATTTGATTGTCACCCTCTCTTCTACATAAACTTCAACATACACTACGACACAGTTGACATATGTTTTGTTCTTGTGTAATAGATGAATGCAGTATAATATGGATCAAATTATTACAATGTTTATTTACCTAATTTTGCAGAGGACTGGATGTGTGAAGATGTGAGTTACATGATGAGCCTTGTTTTCTACCCTTAGTTTATATCTGTTTCTAGAAAAACTAGAACATGTCCATAAAAGTTGTTGCCTAGAATTTCAGGTAGTTTAGATTAAATTAGAAGATTAAAGACTGGTTCTTTAAAGGAAAGAGGTTATAACAACATTGTTACATAGCCCTGTTCTATTCTGGAATGGCCATTAGCATTAAGAAGACTTTTATAAGTTTTGTTGGAGTTAATTAATTAATACTTAATATTAATTAATCCATAGATCTTATAAATTCATTTTTTACTGCTTTGAGGAGATTTTCAACGTCTTTTGAAATGGACCAGGTTTTTTATTTTGGTATCCCAGGTTCACCACATACCGGGCATGTAGAAGCCCACCCTCAATAACTATTTGTTGAATTAGTAAAGAGTAAGACTGTAAAACTATTGAATTTAGTGTGCTTCAAGAGATCTTTCAAATTAGTGTCAGGGATAGTCTTTCTGTGACATAGTGAGTTATTTTATGTTTGGCATCTCTTTCATGGTATACCCTGCTGGTTTTGTTTGCTTACGTATCTAGCTGATTAGCTCATCCACTTAATTTGGAGGTGAGGGCCATGAAGGCAGGGTTGGGCTGTCTGGTTCACCGCTCTCAGACTGTGCTCAGCACAGGTGCTTCATAAACCTTTGGACTTGTTCTGAGAATGGCACATCACCTGTCATGCAGGATTTAAGGAAACATCCAGCTTTTATGAATATCCTTTGAAAGGAAAATTCAAAAAACTTCTATACTATTTTCATTTCTTGCCTTGAAAATGGTATTTGTGGGAGGGTAAGATGGCTGTCCTGCAGAGTGCTGTTTTCTTTTTTTTTTTTTTTGAGACAAAAAAAAGCTGCCCCCCTAGGTAGAGTGCTCTGGCATCACAGCTCACAGCAACCTCCAACTCCTGGACTCAAGCCAGTCTCCTGCCTCTGCCTCCCAAGTAGCTGGGACCATAGGTGCCCACTACAACGCCCGGCTATTTTTTGGTTGTAGCCGTCGTCATTGTTTGGTGGGCCCGGGCTGGATTTGAACTTGCCACCTTAGGTGTTTGTGGCTGGCACCTTAGCCACTTGAGCCACAGGCGTCGAGTCCAGAGTACTGTTTTCTTTTCTTTTTTTTCTAAGAGACAAGAGTCTCACTTTGTCGCCCTTGGAAGAGTACTGTGGTGTTACAGGTCACAGCAACCTTCAGCTCTTCGGCTTAGGCGATTCTCTTGCCTTAGCCTCCTGAGTAGCTGGGACTCCAGGCGCCTGCCTCAAAGCCCGGCTATTTTTTGTTGCGGTTTGGCCGGAGCTGGGTTCAAACCTGCCACCCTCAGTATATGTGGCTAGCGCCCTACTCACTGAGCCATAGGCACCGCCTGAGTGCTGTTTTCTTAATGGCCAAATCCATCATCCTGAGTGAGGTCATTTGTGCCCATGTACATTCAGCAGCATGGAATAACCTTGAGTACCTCCCAAAGGGTCACACTGGGGCACCCAGAGCCGAGTCAGCTCCACGGCTTGGAGGTGGTTACAGTGTTAGCACAGTGAAAAGAGCACCACATTGCATTACACTTTGGGGAGGGAGCAAGAGGGTAACTGGAGGAATGACTCCCTGGAGAAAGTGTTAGTTTTGCTAGGTTTGAAAGATAGATGAATCTTAGGTATGGGGCAGGAAGCAGTGAGCACAAGGTGGGGAGTCGGAGAGGTGCAGTGAGGAGTGTGATGTGATGGTGAGGGGCAGACGAGGGCACGTGGGAAGAGAGCTGGGTTAGAGCATAGCCTGCCTTCCAAGGCAGGTCTCACCAGCAGAGAGTTTTGGGCGAGGGAAAGATTCACTGAGACAGTTTACCTCGTCAGCTTTTTGTTCGGAAGAGGAAAGGGAAGGCGGCCCTTGTTCCAGTGACACTGTCTCGAGAGGTGGAGGTTGGGGTGTGTATGTTTCCTCTACTTGAATTCTTGGTTTCACTGTATTAACTTTTTTCTCTTTCCTCAGAATATTCCCCAAAGCACAGAAATCCTGAAGAAATTGATGACAGCAAATGAGATTCAGAGTAATATTTATACATGACACCAAAGAATGTTTGTAATATATGTTACCTGTTCATTCCTTTATGGGGAGCAGTGTTTTGTAGGTTACTTCTTTGGGGGGGGTTTATTTTGAGGGTACAAAACAGAATAAAGTTGTAAAAATTATAGTTTTAATTCCGTATTTATGGTGGTATCGTTCAGAATTGAAATAAGCTACACAGGTTTCTTTCATCCACTAGGTATTGTTTAGGGGGGTATTGTTTATTTGAATATTTTAAGGTAGTATTTTTGAAAAGCTATGTACACCAACAAAATGTATTAATATGGCAAAATGTGTAAATACTTGTTGATCTGTTGGTGATACTTAATATGTGGAAAGTTTCTGGATATTTTAAGAGTTCTGCAGGGTTTTTTTGCTTTGAGGATATAAATTGATGACAAGGTAACAAACTTACACAGTGGAACCTCTGTAAGTTGACAACCCAAGGGGCTCTAATTGGCCAACATAAGGAACTAGGCGTGCTGTACTGATGTGTACTTGAGGTGCATGCTCCGTCTGTGAAAATTAGGTCGACTTAGGGAGGTGGTCAGTGTAGGAAGGTGGTCAACTATAGTCACCTACTGTAGATTTGCTCAAAATGAAACCAAAAGAAATTTGTGTGTTCTTACTTTTTAGTAATATCTGACGTCTAGCCTTGTCACCCATGCTTTCCCAGGGCTTTCAGACATGGTTAGCTGTGTTGATGATGACCAGTTTTCTTTTAGCAAAATGTTATGTAAATTGTGGGCAGCGCCTGTGGCTCAGTGAGTAGGGTGCTGGGTCTCAGGTTCAAACCCGGCCCAAACCAAACTGCAACAAAAAATAGCCTGGTATTGTGGTGGGCGCTTGTGGTCCCAGCTACTCAGGAGGGTGAGGCAAGAGAATCACCTAAGCCGAAGAGCTGGAGGTTGCTGTGAGCTGTGACACCACAGCACTCTATTGAGGGCGACAAAGTGAGACTCTGTCTTTAAAAACAAAAAATGTAAATTGTATCATTAACCCAAAGTAACTACAATACTTCACAAAACCACAAACTAAACTGCATTTCTTAAATTTTAAAATGATGAAGTTGAGAAATACATCTTATCTCTTCTGCTTTCTTTTCCCCCTTTTTAGTTACTGCATCATTTACATGTTATAGGTTTAGACAACTCACCCATTTATATTTTCTTGGTAGTGGTTCGTGATGGGATAAGGAATACTCTTTTTAACTCCTTGAATAAACTTGGTGGTTTCTTTTGCATAAGCAAGTTTGGGAAGTCTTGTGCATGGAGCATTAAAACATACCTAGTGGTAGAAACCAAGCATTTTCCTCATTGCAGAAGCTTGCATCCATTTAGAACTGTGCTTGCAGAGCCCTGAGTAAGTAAGTATAAGACTTGGGATCCAGTCCCAGCTGGAGGTAGAGCCCTTTACTCTACTGAGGGTGAATGTTTTAAGTAGAGTAGAGTGCTGTTGGAAGAGCGGACTGTGTTCAGATCTCCAATCAGTGCTTATATGTGTGACTTTAGCTGCAGTCCCCAACTCCGCTGGCCACAGGCTGGTACAGGAACTAGGTCACACAGTAGGAGGCGAGTGGTGGGTGAGTGAGCAATGTTTCATCTGTAGTTATAGCCACTTCCCATTGCCCACTGATTCTGCTTTATGGTGAGTTGTATAATAGTTTCATTATATGTTACAATGTAATAATAGAAATAAAATACATAAGAAATGTATTGCACTTGAGTCACCTTAAACCATCCCCCCACCCTAGATGAAACTGGGCCCCTACCTCTGACCATATATAAAAATCAACTCGAAATGGATTAAAGACTTAAATGTAAGACCTGAAACTGTAAAACTACTGGAAGAAAACATAAGGAACACAATATACTTCAGTACAAAAATTTTAGGACAGCACCTCAAAAACAGAAGCAACTAAAAAATAGATAAATGGGACTAAACTAAGCAGCTTCTCCACAGCAAAGCAAACAGTCAATATGGTGGAGAAGACAACCTGTTGAATGAGAGAAAGTATTTACAAATTATTCATCTGACAGGCGCCTCATACCTAGCTTATGCAAGGAATCAAAACTCAACAACAAAGAATCCCAGTAGACTATGGACAAAGGACATGGCCAAACTGTTCTGAAAAGGAAACATACAAGTAGCTGACAGGTATATGAAAAATGCTCAATGTCACCAGTCATCGGGGGCGGGGGTGCAAATCAAAACCACCACATTCTCTCATCCTGGTCAGAGTGTCTGTCATTAAAGGGAAAAATCACAGATGCTCGTGAGGGTGTGGAGAAAAGGAACTCTACACACTTAGTAGGAATACCAATTAGTATAGCTAGTATGGAAAAAAGAGTATGGAGATTGCTCTAAAATACTAAAAAGACAACTACCCTATGATTCAGTAATCCCACTACTGGGTATTTACCCAAAGGAAAAGAAATGTATCAGAGGTTACCCACACTCACGATTGTCAGGGCACTGCCAGCAGCAGCAAAGATAGTCAACCTAAATGTCATCAGCCATGGCTATAGAAAGTGCGTGTACACAGGGGTATACTGCTCAGCCACAAAAAGAATGAGCTCACAGGAGTGTCTGCCACATGGAGTGTGTGTTGGGGAAAGCAGGACAGAAGACTGGGACTGCCTTTCCAAAAGTGCCTTGTTCACAGCATGCAGGACAGAAAACTAAATCATTAGCAGCTTTAAACCTGAAACATCATGGAAACAGGATTCAAAAATACAAATGAAATAAAAATAAAGCATAAAATAACAAAAATGTGAATATTTCAAGTATACGCTTTGTGATATTGGGCATGTGTATGGGTTTTCCAGAGATTCCTATAGTTTGGGGCTCAACATTAAATGTTTTAAGCTTCTCTATCATGTGGGGATAAGGAACAGAGACTGGGTCCCAGCCAGGTGAAGTGGTCCCTTGAGGGCCCCTGGGCCCTCAGGTTTCCCATCAGTGCCCTGAGTCCCCCCAGCTATGGGCTGTCCTGGCACGCCTGACAGCACGGGGCCCGCTCTTACAGGGGACGAACCTCCAGAGGGACAAGGAAGAGCATCTCCACATGGTGTAGTCCCCACCAGGCCTGTGGCTGTGGCTCCTTCCATTCTCATTTTTGTACAATGTGTCGTATATGTGGGAATCCTACTCAGCCATGAAAACAATGAAATCGCATGAGTCTGTGCCACCTGGAGTGTATTTTGGGGAAAGTAGGACAGGGGTGTGGGACAGGGACATTCACTGGGCTAAACTGCTACTAAATACTTTCTCAGGGAGTAGAAAAATAGGTGGCTTAGGTGGCACTGAAAATACCCCAAAACAGACACTAAAACAATGTTTCTGAATAAAGCAAATCTCCCCACACGTTGTGATTATTCTGCCTTCTGCCTTCCGCAAGTTTTAAAGGATGAAGCCCTAAAACCATGAGGCTTGAATCCGTTTCTAATTAGGGACATTTTCCAGTCCCAAACACAAGAATTACACGAGAATAAGCAGCCATGGCAGGTTTCTGAAGCATTGTTCTTTTGCCACACTTCTGCCCCAGGGAGGCTGCCCTGGCGACCAGCCCACCATTCCTACGGTGACATGTGGCCAGTGCTGGTCTGAAGCTTGAAAGTTAAATGAGAGAAGCTGCAGTTTTCCTTGCCTCAGTCCCTCCCTCCCTCAGCACCATCTGACTGGCACATCAAAATAAATCATCCCTTACGCGCTACACCCAACTCTTAAAAAAACACCTTTCAGGACAGGGTGCACGTAAGGTATTCTGAGAGTTCCATAAGGAAAGCCTTGGAATGAGCCAGTGCCCCCAGAGTCCATGTTTTAGCGCATAGCCCCATTGGAACCCTTCTTGGTGGTCATAATGCCCTGCAAACTACATCACTGCGTGCAGGGTCACAAGCTGCACCAGTGAAGGTCTAGAGCCTCACAAAGATCCAGAGCAGACCCTGCGGCCATGCCAGTGTCCCTGCTGGCCAGCATGCCGGCACCACATCATTGTCGTCATTTAGAGACCGCTCACCAAGGACAGCCTGTTTGGCAGGCTGTTGTCATGAAGGCCTGCTTGTGGGTGCTGGTGGACCACCACATCCTCCTGCCTGCTCTAGTTCCCGGTGGGAGTGTCCTGGAGTGTGATCTTCAGCACAGGCCTGCTCAGGTGGCATGGCCTCCATGGTGGTCTCATCAGACCTGGCTCTGAGCCCTCAGAAGCTATGCCTGTCCTGGAATCCTGGAGTGCAAATTTCCAGGCCAGCAAGCCTTTGTGCTCTCTGCACAGATGGGCGGGCTCCCCATCTCACAGGAACCTGCAGTGTGCCTTCTTACGGCTTCCCATTTGGAGGCCAAATACCCTGGCATTCTGGCATGTGGGCCTTAGCCTTGCCACTATACTGAGACTGGTCATCATAACAGAACATGTGACCATCTGAACACAGGTCAGACCAGTTCTTTTTCAAAGTTTTATCTGTGCTCCTGTCCATCTCTTCACCTGCCAGCACTTAGCTGCCGCAGGGCTTCCTCAACCCTGGCTGTGTACCCACAATTTCTGTTCATTGTAAATTACCCAGTCTTGAGAAATGGCTGAGAAAAATGGTTACCTTTAGGTTCTGACTGCTCTCTTTTCCCTGCCAGTGGAGACTCATTTCTGAACTGTGTCCAAGTCTTGCAGCCTTAGTCTGGGCTGGAAGAAGGACAGAAAGGAAGAGGGTGTGGGAAAGACCAAGGAGCACGTGGGGAGGGCCTGAAGTTCTGGTTTCCTAGGGGAGGATGGGCTCCAAATTGGGACTCACATAAATTAGACTGGGTCGCGAGGCTTTGGAGCAGAAGGAACTCAGATTTGGAGTCTGGTGGCTATTCTGTGTAGCTTCTTGAATTAATCTGATTTAGAATGCCTCAGTGCTCAATTTGTGGGCCACTCCCATCACATGAAATATGATTACTACAAATGCTTTTGAATATGAAAAATATAACCAGCTTCTATCTGGTGACCTATAACTCAAGAACTATCTGGTGGTGCTTAAATGCCCACCATTATGCCATCAAGAGAAGCCTGTCTCAGCGTTCTCCATGAATTCTCTTCTGTCTTTAGTGGAATCCCAGGGCAATGCCGCTTCTCATGTGCACC